CCTGGGGGCTGCCCTGGGTGTCCGTCCTCCATGTGGGAGCTCCTTCTGGGTCACTGCTGTAGAAGAGGTGCCGTGGGCCTCCGCTGGGGAGGCAGCTGTCCATGGCCTCAGTTTCCTGCATCTTCTGGAGACAGAGGCTGAGCCACTGTGTGCCCTGTTCAGTCCACGTGTGGGACAGTCTCCGGCACTGAGGCTCAGCCTTCAGAGAACAGGAGGCCCAGCGTTTTGGAAGTGGCAGGGGCGAGGAGTGCAGCCTGGCAGCTGAGTGCTGGGTTCCTTACAGAACCTAACAGGGCCGCAGGAAAAGGCCAAACGATGGCCCGGCCAGGCCGTGCGCGGGAGCGGGGTTTGCAAGGAGGGAGAGCAAGGCCTTCGTGTCTGCCTCAGTTTCCCTCCCACATTCCCTGGGTGCTGTGTCCCCCACAGGCATTTTCTTCCATCTCCAGAGGGTCCTCTCCCACCTGACCTGCTGCTTGCCCCATCTCGGAGCCCACCAACTTAATCCCTCCTCACCAGGCCAGGCCTTGCTTTTCTGCCCCGGTGTGGAAGAGACTAGTGACGTCTCTTCCAGGGATGACCCATACCCTTGCCTACCCTCGAACTCAAAATCCTCTGCAGGCTGGAGCATGAAAAATCTTCACCATCCTCACTCTCTGGGACGAGCCCCTATCCCTGCCTGCTCCTCTGGCAAGTGCGCCTCGGGAGAACCAGCTCCGACAGGCCCACCCCATCAGGGTGTCAGGTGGGACTGGACCAGCTGACACTCCACTGCCCATCTTCCACTCCTGCCACATTAAGTACCAGGGAACACAGTAGGTGCTCAGTTTGAGCTACTGTTAATAAATTGCTGGCTGACACCAACTGAACACCTACTGAGGCCGGAACCACAGTGTGGCCGCATGGGCCACAGTGAGCCGACCTCTGAGCTCTGAGCCAAGCCCAAGCTCAAACCCAAGAGGAAGGGCTCTGCCCCACTGGCTGGTGACCCTGGACCAGCCCTCCATCTCTGCACCACAGTTTCCCATCTGGAGCACAATGTATCAGGAAGATTGTCCTAAGATGCACACAGTCATGAAAAGGCATTCTTTTTTTTTTTGAGACGGAGTCTTGCTCTGTTGCCCAGGCTGGAGTGCAATGGCGCGGTTTTGGCTCACTGTACCCTCTACCTCCTGCGTTTAAGTGATTCTCCTGCCTCAGCCTCCTGAGTAGCTGGGATTACAGGTGCGGGCCACCACGCCTGGCTAATTTTTCTATTTTTAATAGAGACGGGGTTTCACCATGCTGGCCAGGCTGGTCTCAAACTCCTGACCTCTTGATCTGCCCCTCTCGACCTCCCAAAGTGCTGGGATTACAAGCATGAGCCACCGTGCGTGGCCGAAAAGGCGTTCTTTAGCCTCCGCTGCGGTACTGACCGGCCCCACGCCTGAGTCTGCTTGTGAGCATTTGCTAGGAAAGGGCTCCCCACCCTGAGTCTGCATTGAGCATTTGCTAGGAAAGGGCTACCCACGCCTGAGTCTGCATGTGAGCATTGCTAGGAAAGGGCTCCCCAGCCTGAGTCTGCGAGACTTTGGGTGCTTGCTGCCTCAGTTCCACGCTCTGCCCCACCTCGCCAGATTCCTGCAGCAACCCAGCACTGGTCTCACAGCTTCAGCCAAAACCCACCCTCCCTGTGGCCCTGGGTGACCTTCCTCATGAACCCTCAAGGAGGTGACATCACCTTCAGGATATGATGGAGGCGCTCACAGGCAGGAGGGAAGGCAGATGGGACCAGACCCTGATGCTCCAGGAGACAGGGATGGTTCCAGTCAAGGGCACCTAGGACCTCCGTGATGCCGGATCCCAGCCCGTGGCTGCACCTGACCGCACAACAGCATCAGCCAAGCTAGACCCGCCCTTCTCCTGAGGATGCTTTTCACCTGATTGCTGAACACAGCTGGCTCTCCAAGTTTCAGTCCTTGTTCTTCACTTCCTCCTCTGCATCTGAACATGTCTGCATCAGGACTGAGGCCCGGCCCCTTCTTGTCTCTCATCCCTGGGGCAATCTTGCAACAGTAGAGGGAGGCTTAGTGTAACTGACTCCATTTTGCCTCTGCCCTCGTAGTCATACCTTTTAGGTCAAATTTATACAACCTGTGGCCCATGGGCCCCATGCAGCCCAGGAGGCTTTGAACGCAGCCCAACACAAATTTATAAACTTTCCCTTTTTTTTTTTTTGAGATGGAGTGTCACTCTGTCGTCAGGCTGGAGTGCAGTGGTGCAATTTCGGCTCACTGCAATCTCTGCCTCCTGGGTTCAAGTGATTCTCCTGCCTCAGCCTCCCAGGTAGCTGGGATGACAGGCGCACACCACCATGCCCAGCTAATTTTTGTATTTTTAGTAGAGACAGGGTTTCACCATGTTGGCCAGGATTGTCTTGATCTCTTGACTTCGTGATCCACCCGCCTAGGCCTCCCAAAGTGCTGGGATTACAGGCGTGAGCCACCATGCCGGGCCAATTTTCTTAAAATATTATGAGATTTTTTTGTGTATGATCTTTTTAAAGATCGTCAGCTATCATTTGTGTATTTTATGTATGGTTCAAGACAATTCTTCCATTGTGGCTCAGGGAAGCCAAAAGATCGGACATTCCTGCTTTAGGTTGAAAGCTTCTGCTTAGCTTTGCCTGTAGACTAGCTAATTACTTGCAGTTCAACTTTAAGAAAAAATAATAACAGCCCCTTTCTCAAAACTAACTCCTGAGGAGATAAGGGCGTGTACACACATGAGTCACAGCGTTTTGTTAAAGATTTATAGGAACACTGTGGCCTGACCCACTTCATCTGAACCGAAGTCAACTGACCAAGAACAAACCTGTCTCACAGCCTCCTCAGACCCCCGCTTGCACCCACATGGCTGTGGTCGTCAGTTACTTCTTGACCTCAAACCCCTCCTCTTCTCTCTTCTCTTGACGTAAAAGGGAGCCTGAAGTTCATACAAACTTAAGAAGGTTCTTTAGGGCACTAGTCCACCTTCTTCTTGGTTTGCTGGCTCTCCTGGTAAAGTCGCTTTCCTTACCCCAGCACCTCGTCTCTCAACTTACTGACTTACTGGCTGTTGGGTGATGACTGGGATGAGCTTGGACTTGGTTAGATCTCGTCCTGGCCTTAGATACCTACCCGCTGCGGACTCCCACACCTGACCTCTCTTCGAGGATCCAAACTCAGATTTCTCTCTTCTTTTTTTTTTTTTTTTGGCGAGGGGACACAGTCTTGCTCTGTCTACCAGGCTGGAGTGCAGTGGTACGATCTTAGCTCACTGCAGCCTCTGCCTCCCGGGTTCAAGCAATCTTCCCACCTCAGCCTCCCAAGTAGCTGGGATTATAGGCATGTGCGATCACACCCAGCTAATTTTTGTATATTTTGTAGAGACAGAGTTTCACCATGTTGCCCAGGTTGGTCTCGAACTCCTGAGCTCAAGCCATCCTCCCACCTTGGCCTCCCAAAGTGCTGGGATAACAGGTGAGAGCCACAGTGGCTGGCCCACATTCAGATTTCTAACTGTCTATGTGACACTGTAGGTGCACCGTTAATCGGCACCTCTGATTTCCGGTGACCAGAACAGAGCTTTGGATCCCTCCCCTAAAGCTGGCTTCTCCCATAGTCCCCCTTCCCTCAGAAAACAGCTCTCCTGTTTACCTAGTGGCTCGGGTCAAAATCTAGGGGTTCCCTTTGATTTCTCCCCCTCTTGAAAGTACCATGCTCATCCTTGTCCGGGGAGCTCTACCTGTAAGAGTCTCGCCCTCATGCCAGCCTCCAGCTTGACATTCAGGTCTCAGTTGATGTGTCCCCAGGGGCATCCCCGACCTGTCCATGGTCCTGTGAATCCCCTACACGGGGCCCATTGCTGCCGGAAGCTCTGGTTTGTTTAGTTAGTGTCTGTGCCTCCCCCATAGTGGAATGGTCTGGGGCCTTCCTGGGGTCCTGCCAAGTCCCCGCCTCCAGAAGACCCAGCCCCGAGCAGGTGCTCCAGGTGGGTTTGTTGGCGAGCAGGTGGAAGGCCCGGGAGTGCTCAGGACTGGGAAGGGGACACTGCCTTGGAGGAGAAGGGACGGCTTCCCCACCGATGTCAACTTGAAACTATTGACCAGCTCCACCCCCCCAGGACTTCAGGCTCTGTAGTTGGAAGAGGCAGAAGTGCCCTCTGCTGGCCACTGGCTGGGTCCCTGCACCCCCAGAGCAATAATTAAGAGTTGAGGGATGAGAAGCCAAGCTCAGCCCTTGTCCCTGACTCTTCTCATTTTCCCAACCCCACCCATCGCCCACCCTGTGTTCTCTCAAATGCATGTCTCTCCTTCTGGAACCCTCCTCTTCAAATCTTCTCTCTTATTCTTCCACTGGTTCATCTACACCCCAATCTATAACCCGTCCACACCTCCATCATCTTTAAGACTCAAGTAAGTGTCACTTCCTCCAGGAAGCCTCCCCTGACTTTGTCCAGGGTAACTGGCCTCGCTTGCCTTCTGCCCCTGCCATCCTTACAAAGGACACCCCTCACAGCTTCTGCCACACTGCATAGTCCTTATCTGTCCATCTGCCTCTCCCTGCAGGCGACTGCACTCCCTGGGGATGGGGACAGTGGCCCTGATGTCCTCAGCACCCAATGCAGAGCTGTGCAGGGCAGGGGCTCACATGGAAAATGTTCGCTGAATGAAGTCAACTGACTTCAAAGGTTCTGAGCAGGACTGTTCTGAGCTGGGTGCCCTGGCAAACAATCCAATATACATATTGGGGAGCAAAAACAATATACATAAATATGTGCTCATTGAGAAACATTTCAAACAACAGAAAAGCTTACAAATTAAAAAATGAAACCTTTTCAATTGTTTTCCAACCTACAACCTTTCATAAATCACCGCTGTTCTCCATGTGGGGTGTGTTCGTCCCACAGCTTCCCAAGCATTCCCTTTGACTTTATTTTACCTTTCTTTTTTGTTTTCAACGTAAATGGGGTCATACAGTACACATAATTGTATCCTTTATTTTTTTTCATTAAAAGTCCCATTTTGAGGTCCTTCAAAGTCAGCATCTGTAGGTTTATGTCATTCTTTTTAGTGATGGCAAAGCATACCCTACCCCAGTACTGTCACAGTGTCTAAATCCGAGGCTTGTCATTAAATCTCAGTAAAGCTGGGGACAAATGCCAGGTGTTTGGTTTTTCGATTTGGTGGCTTTTTAATTATTTTGCAGTTGCAAACAACATTTCTGCAAACATCTTCATGCCCAATTCTTTGTGTCCATGGGCACATATTTCTGTAGAATTGACTCTTAGAAGTGGAATTGCTGAGTCTGAGAGCATATCTATTTCACATTCTAATAGAGACTAGCAAACTCCCTCCAAATTGGTTACCAATTGACACTCACATCAACAATGCATACCTGTCTCCTTTTCTCCACATTCTTGACAGCATTGGGTGTTATTCGACTTTAACATTTTTTGACACATCTAATCATGTCAACCTTCAAATCCAGCTGAACTCTGATTAAAGTGGGTGTTTCGAGAAGCCCTGAGAACAGAGCCTTGGAAAGGGTGCCCGGTAGACAAAGGAGCCTCTAGCCTCCCAGAGTAGCCGTGGGTAGCCCCATTTCCTTTTCCTTGGCCAGGGAAGGAAAGTCCCTCCCCAAAACCCTTGGTCCTGGAGTCACGGCCCAAGCCCCTCAGCAGTTCCCTCAGGAGTAGAGGAACTCCTGGGTCAACCAGAGTCCACACAGAGGTGGATTTGCTTCTGGCAACATCTCCAGTCTGAATGTGATCCCAGGTGATCCTTAAGGAAGCAGCTGCCTTGTGTCCTCTGAAAAATGCTGCCTGCAAGGGAGGACATGCATTTGGGAGAACTGGAGAATTGCACACTTGGTTATGCACAGTGAGCCCAGGAGAATACGAAGCAAAGGGCATGTCCTGCAAGAACCACAGGTTTTGGAGATGTTAAGGTGGCCTGCTGGGCCCACAGAGGGGGCTTCTGGAGCACCAGGAGGCTTACCTCTTATTCCACCCCCTCCCTGCCACCCCAGACTAGAAGGAATCTATTCCGAGAGTGACACTTGGAAATAGCTTGCTATTTGTGTGGCCTAAAAAGATCTAGAGAAAGGGGCAATGGGGAATTTCCAACATTCAAACAGTCCCGGATTCATCAGATTCCAAGGTCCTCCTGGTCAGCAGCTGGGGGGTGCGGGGGCAGATGGCGCACAGACACCTGGGATCGTGTTTGCAGACTTTCATCTCCTAAGAGCCCAGGGATGGCCTCCAGGGCTGGCTGGCTTGCCTGCCTTCCTGTTTTTATCCAAATAGGCCTTATACAAAGATTTAAAAATGACTCATGGAAAAAGCCAAGCTAGGGAGGAGGGCTGGAGTTGGCCACCAAGTGGAGGACAGTGGGAGGCCTGCAGGGATGCTCATCAGTGACCCGGGAACCTGAGCGGTCTCCAAACTGCATCTGCAGGAAGGTCAGGACAGGAGAAGCGGGTGCCGGGGGACACAGCAAATGCTTATTGGAGAATGCCCTGGGAAAGAGAAAAACACCGGTGCTAAAATATATCCCGAGGTGGGCGTGGTATTTAATTTCCAACCTGCTTCCATTTCTATGCACTTAGACATCCTTTCCTCCTATGAGGGAGACAGAGTAGGCGTTATTATTCCTTTTTACAGATGTCCAGAGAAGAGGTGTCCTCCCAGGTAGCACCTTGACCCAGATGCAACGGTCCTCCTCCCAGTTTCTTAGGAACTTGTGGGCCTTATTTGCCTGGCCAACTGTTTCCCATCCTTTAGGGTTCAAATCAGCCTCCAGAGCTGTCCCCAAGGGTCCTACTGTCAGCTCTTCTGCTTGTGTCCAGCTGACACTCCGAGCCATGTCCTGTGATTGCAGGTTGTACCTCTGTCACCTCCTGGCTACACGGTAGGTAAACTCCTCTCCCACCTCCTCCACCTCCCCTGGCCTGGCCTCTCCCACCCAACATGGCCAAGCAGAAGTCTGTGGAATAGCTGGGTGGGAGAGTCAGTGGATGCTAAGGGAAAACTAGACAATGCTACCACAACCTGAAGCCAAAGTAAGCCAGGGTGCCTCAGATGTGCACCACCTGCCTGGCAAAACCACCGTGCCGTTCTGAGGATCCCAAATCTACTCAGGAAAAGGAAAAAGACAATCCCGGGCTCTGGGTGGAGGGTGGAGGTAGAGAAGGAAAAGAAGCTGGGGTCTGGAATGCCTCAAAGGTGCTGGCACAGGGAGGGAAGGAGCAGGGTGGGGCTCCTGGCCTGGGCGCCTTCGAGAACGAGCGGAAAGGCTCCTTTCACTGGAAGCACGGAGGCCCTGAGCAATTCCAAGGGCTCCCTCTCGTGGCCATTTGAGGCCAAAGCTGAGTGTTCAGAGGCCAATCCCACATTTTCCTCTTAGCCAAGGGTGTAGAAAATGGGTTCAGAAGACAGGGGAAGAGCACTGGTCTTGGAGTCGGATTCGTGTCCTGATCACCCACCAATTCACCAGGTTGCATTGGGCAAACCACTCCACCTCTCAGCCTCCGTTTCCTCATCTGGTTAATGAAGTGGTCTGCCTGGCACCATGGCTCACACCTGCAATCCCAAAGCTTTTGAGGCCAAGGCAGACAGATCATTTGAGGTCAGGAGGTTGAGACAAGTCTGGGCAACATAGCAAGAGCCTGTCTGTAAAAAAAAAAATGTTTAGAATTAGCCATCGTAGTGGGGCGCACGTGTAATCCCAGCTACTCAGGAGACTGAGGTGAGAGAATTGCCTGAGCTCAGGAATTTAAGGTTACAGTGATCTGTGATCACGCCATAGCACTCCGACCTGGGTGACAGAGCAAGACACTGTCTAAAAACAACAAACTTGGAGGGTCAGATGAGATGAACAGCTCTCACAAACGGGAGTGTGGGGCTAAACACGCTGCACATGTTATCTTAGCCTCTCCCAACGACACGGCAGGATTTTGCCTTCGGGATGACAGTGACATTGATGAGTTTTTGCTGTGCTTAGCTCCATAGCACAGGCCAGCTCTGGGCTGAGCACTCCACATGTGATGGCAGGCAGGTGCCACGTAGAGGAAGAGGTTGAGCATCAGAAAGGTTACATGACTTACCCTTGGCCACCAGCTGGTGAGTGGCAGAACTGGGGTCTGAAGCCAGATTTATGGCTCCAGAGCTCCCCACTCTCCTTGCCCATGGTGTTTCTCACGGTTTCTAAAGTCCTTTCCATCTCCAGCTATCTGTGACTCAAGGTGTCTGCTGGAGAAAAGAGATTCACAGGAAACAGTGGGGGCTTGGCAGGTAGACAGGATAGGAACCAAAGAGACAGTTGACAGGCAGTCAGGCCTAGAGCAACCTCATAGACAAAAAGCACAGTCTTTACAGGAGAAGAAATTATGACTGCCACTCTATTAGCCATCAAAGCTATGCTTTCCCACTAAGGAGCATGAGAAAGGGCACCATTGTCTAAAAACATGTCGAACAAAAATGTCATCAGACTTTTTTTATAAGCTTTGCAACTGCCCACACCAAACTTGCTGCCTCTGAGGAGCCTGGCAGTTCTTGAATATCCAACCATTTATCCATCTATCCAACCATCCATCCATCCATCTATCCACCCACCTATCCCCCCGTACCTCCATCCATCCACTCATCCATTCAATTGCCTACCTATTTACTTACTATCCAAAGTGCCAATCCAGTCACCCATCTCCCCATCCATCCATCCATCCATCCATCCACCCACCCATCTCTGCATCCATCATCCATCCATTCATCCATCTGTCCATCCATCCATCCAACCCTGAAGCCAAAGAAAGTGAGGGTGCCTCAAATGTGTACCCTCTTACCCATCCATTCATCTGTCTGTCCATCAAACATTGCTGAGTCCTAAGTTACTGGTGCCTTATTTTCAAGAGTCCCAAATTGGATATTATATGTCTCAGACATGTAGGCCAAAAAACACAGAAATATGTTGCATTAATTAACTATGGCAACAGATTGCTTAGAAGCTTGAAACAAGTGTTGATTACCTCACACAGTACCTGTGGGTTAGGAGTCTGGGAGTGGCTGAGCTAGGCTCAAGGTCTCTCATGAGGTTGAAGTTAAGATGTTGACTGGGAATGGAGGCTGTGCTTCCAGAATAGCTCACTTACATGACTACTAACGGGAGGCCTCAATTCTCTATTGGTGTTTGTCCCAAGTCCTCTTAGTGCCTCATCACATGGGCCTCTCCTCAGGGCTACTTGAGCATCCCCACAACATGGCAGCTGGCTTCCCCTAGAGTTGATCCAAGAGAGAGCAAGGAGGAAGCTGCTGAGCCTCTTAAGTCCTCATCTCTGAAGTCACAGATGGCCACTTCATATCATTCTGTTTGCTAGAAGAGTCACTAAATTCAGACCACACTAAGGGGAGGGATACTAGGCTCCAATTCTTAAAGGGATGAGTATCACAGAGCTTTGGACATACTTTAAAACTACCGCATGTGTGGAAGATGCCAAGATAGAGTGTGAAGGATACTGAGAGGCAAGAGGGAGAATGCGGTCAATTCTACCTAGAATAATAGAGGGAGTCAAAGAAATAAAGCTCTATTGAGGTGATAATGAATGAGCTGAGTTCTAGACCTGGAATGTGGCCTTAACCCACTATCCCCTTCTGGGTCTCTGTGTTGTGAAAATAAATGGGGACAACCCAAAGGAGATCAAACAGAAGCCATTCATTGTGAGCTTGCCACAGCAAGGGAGTTGGCCACTGTCACTTGTATTTGACAGAGACTCCCAGGCAGGCAGGGTGAGGGGAAGCATCACGCTGAAAAGGGGGAGGCTTCAGGTGTGCCCTGATTGGAGGTTGTTGGGATGGGGAAGTGGGAGTGGCTAGCTGGAAGCCGGACATCTCATTTGATTGCCTTAGGAGCATTTTTGGCTTTCTCTCATTGGTATTGAATTGGAAGCAGTAGTCAACAATAGGGAAGCTGACCAGGACTGACCGAGCCCTGATCATTCTGGGCCTGTTGCCACAGAGGTTTGGTTTGTCTTCCTGGGCTGCTTGCTGCAGAGACTGTGGGCCAGGGTTCTCTTTTCCTACACTGGCAGGCCATTGTCCGTTTGTACATGTGAGCTTTTGGGGTCCTCCTCTGAAAATCAAAGGTTGGTTGACTGAGCTCTGAGGTTCTGCAAGCCCTGACATTCTGAGGATCTGGCTTCTTCACCTGGTAATGAGGTGTCCAGAGATGGCGATGTGCTGGATGGAAAAAGGACTGGCCAGTCCGAGTGGCTGCCACGCCAGAGGTGAGGTCTTGTGGACAAACTGGGAATGAAAGAGAGGGAGATGCCTCGATTGGACCCTCCTCTCTGTGGGCACTCCCAGGAGTTTCCAATTCGCAGCAACCCCCAGCATCCCAGCATCTTTGACTGTGGACCTTGAAAGTTACAGGTCACCTCAGGTGACTTCCCCAGTGCACACGTGGATGCTTAAATCTGCATTTCTATCTTCTCTCCAACTGGCAATCTTATTCTTGCTTGATTGCCTCTGGAGACAGCAGGCTCACTCTCAATGGAGACAAGGATGTGGTCCATCTGCTCTGGCACACAGGGCAGCTTCCAAGATGGCTGGTCCATCTGCAGCATGCTCAACCCCTGAGCACCCATCCCACCACATCCTCCCAGGCTGACCCTGCCCTTCCCTCTTCCCACGTACAACAGCGACTGAGGCTTTGCCTGAGGAAGGCCCCTGACAAAATGAGAGGGGAAGGTGAGAAGGGAACCCGGCCTTTTTCCTATGCTACCTCCATGGGGAAGCCTTTTCATCAGATTAGCAATGGTCTGGAGGAAACAGGACACAGGACTGGTAAATTTTGACATGGAAATGGAAATGAGGAAAAACTGTATGTGCTCTTCAAGTGCGATGTCATCATTATGACAGCACAGACCTCCTAGTGTCCCCGTCTCATCCGATGGTCACCATCACCCTGAGGGGCATGGCAGGGCAAGGTCCCCCTTCTTAGCGTGTGACTCTACCACCTGCCCACCTGCCCAAGCCTGCAGGTCTCCCTGAACTTTTCTCCTCCTTTATGCTCCCATATCTGACCCTATAAAGTCTGTTTCCTAACGGGCACAGGAACCCATCCTTCCTGTCCCTCCCTGGCCACGGTAGTGCAGAAGTCATGCCTAGGGACTGGGCCCCGACAACCTGGGCTCAAATCCTAGTGTTGGCATGAACAAGTTGTGAGGCCTCTGGCGCCCAATCCCACCTGGTTAAGCCCATCTCTCATCCCTGCAGCATCCCTTCCGCACCACCCAGCAGGATGGGCTTCCTGAAGCCCAGCCCACCCTCCCTTCCTCTGTTCCAGCCTCTGCCCCATCAGCCTATCCTCCAGGTTCTGTCACGCCAAGCACCCTACACTGAGGCTGATGAGCAGAGGATCTAGCCCAGTTCTTCTTGAAGGAGATGGAGGGGTTGGGGCTGGGTGAATAAATATACCAAACAGCCTGATGATACAGGCCCATTCTGCATGGAATTAACGTCACACACAGGTGGAGGCAGCAGCCCGGTAGGTGGGCTGCTGGGGTTTGTATCCAGCTCTGCCATTTACTAGCTGTGACCTTCAACAAGGCCCTTCACTGTTCTGTGCCTTAGCCTCCTCATCTTAAGATGGGCTGGTCATAGTACCTGCTCATGGGTTGTAAGACAGATGGTCCCTCCCAGTGTGCATGGGCATCGGCCATTCTGTTCAGGGGCTGCAGAGAACAAAAAGATGGAGGAAGAGTGAATTTGCTCTCTGCCGGTGACTGCTTGCACTGGGACATCAATCTTCTGCCCTCAGTGCTGCTGGTTCTCAGGCCTTCAGATCTGAACTGGAATCTCCACAGTGGGCTCTACTCGGTCTCCAGCTTCCAGACAGTGAATTGTGGGACTTCTCAGCCTCCACAATCACGTGAGCCAATTCCTTCTAATAAATCTCCTTGTGCGCATGTGAACTGTTGGTTCTGTTTCTCTGGAGAATTCTGATTAATACACCACATGCTTAGAATAGTGGCTGGCACATAGTAAGTACTCACTGAGTATTAGTCAATATTACTATCTTACCTGGTTCCATAAATACCCTCCCACTGAAAAGATGTTCCTTTGTGTCTCACCTTGGAAGTGACAGGGCCACCAAAACCAATCCTTGCATGTTTCTCTAGGAGGCCTCTCTGGTCTTGTCTGGTGTCCATGAGCCCAGCTGCACCAGGGACTCCAAGGGCAGGCCTGTGGGATGCTGAGAGCACTGGCCTCCTAGTGCTGAGTGGGCCAGGGTCCCTCTGGTGGCTGCCACCTGCAGCCTCCTCTAGGCCTCTGCTGGCCACACCTCTAGGTGTGGGCAGCTCTGGGTGCACACCAGTTTTGGGGATGAGGCTGGGATCAGGGAAAAAAGTATGTCTGCTTGTCTGGTAGGATCTGCCTCCCAACTCCACGTGACTCAGTTTAATTCAATTAACTCCAAAGCACTCTGAGCCCCTACTCTGAGCCACTTGGATTGCCAGGACCCCAGAAATAAGCCAGACCCAGTCCCTGTTGTTAAGATATTCTATAGAGCCTCCATCTTCCTGCAGATGGGCTTCAGGGGTTGAAGAGGGGGGCTGTCACCCCAGCCATCCAAGTCGCAGCCACAGCTCACCTCTCCAACACATCTCGCATTTTGGTCTTCAGCAAGACACTTGCTTAAAAGAAAATTTTTCTTTTTTTCAACAGTCTTGGAAATAGGGTTCATATTAAATGTGCCCTTGAAGTATGAGTTTGATTTTGACAGTGAATAAGGGAGTGAGAGGAAAGAGGGCCGTCCAGGTAGAGAAAACAGCTTGAGCAAAGGTGTGGCTGTGTGCTTCTCAGAGGGGAAAGGGACATTTATTGAAGATCTGCCCAGAGCTGAGTGTGAGTGAGTTCCTGGCTATTCAGCTCTCACGAGGGCCTACAAAGAGGACACTATTATCCTCATTGACAGATGAGGCTCAGAGAGGCAAAGTAAAGGTCAAGGCATAGGCTTGGGAATCAAACCAGCTCGGAGATCTCTAGCACACATGCGCTTTCTGTTGCCAGAAGCTACTTGAGGGGAGGCAGAGTTCCAAGCAGGTTTCATGCTGGGTGTGGCCAAGATGGGCTCCAGTGGCTGGGCTTGAGTTAGCATGGCTCCCTGGTGTTGGAGCAGGCTCAATGGGCAGAGTTGGGCTAACAGGGAGGGCTTGGAGCTGTCATCATTCATGGCCGCAGGGACATGGTGCAACCATTTATAATTAGAATTATAACTTAAACCACCAACAAAAAAAGACTTGATAAGCACCTTCACCTCCCAGCATATACATATCACATCTATTACTGCCACTAAGAACTGGAGACCAAAGGAAGCTGGTTCAGAAGCCCAGCCCTGTGTTAAGGTCCCAGGGGTCTGTGCAATGTGGAACTATCCCAGGGAACAGGTAGCTCTCTCCTGTGTCCTCCCAAGGCTTCTGGAGTTCCCAGGATATTCATCTTATAAAGTGGCTGGTGAAAAATAAGCCATGAAAACAACAGAAACGTGATAGGTAGGTAAGTAGATAGATGGGGGATTCGATGGATGGATGGATGGATGGATAGATGGATGGATAGATGGATGGATAGATGGATGAATAGATGATTGATAGATAGATCATAGGCAGGAAGGGAGGGGGCCAGGCTGGGAGTTGGCAAGGATACTGCCCCACAGTCCTGCCTAGTTGGACAGGACCAGGGCCAGCTAGGAGCAGGGAATAGATGGAGACGAAGCAGAGACGCTGCTGTTAGAACAAAGGGCCCAGAGGCTGCTCTGTGCAGAGGCTGCATCGCCTTCCAAATACAGGGTTCAAGTGTACAACTAACATCCCCAGGCAGAGATCTTCCTTTGATCAAAGCTGTAACCCCAGAAAGTGCTGGCACATAGTAGGTGCTCCAGGCAGAGTTCTTGAGTGAATGTGTGGAAAGGCTTGTCTACATCCTCATTGGACTTTGTAGGTAAACTGTCCTCCCAGCTGCCCCAGGCCTGGAAGAAGCACTACGTGTGCCCCAACTTGAAGGACGGGTGGTATCAGGAGCACTGGCTGTGGGGCCTGAGAACCCAGGTGTAAGGTCTGACTTTGCTATTAACTGAGAGTTCAGCTTGTACATGAGTCACTGCATACAACAGCCCTCTGAGGTGGACACCACTATCCCCATTTTATAGATGAGGAAACTGGGACCTCAAGAGATCAAACCACTTGCCCATGGTCACGGAATGTGGCAGTCTTCAAACATGGCTCCTCAAAAAAGTTTTTTAAAAGAAGCAAAGAAAAAGAATTTTTTAAAAACAAAAGAAAAAATAAACATGGCTCCAAAGTTCTTCAACCCTCCTCCCACTGATAGGTGAGGTTTACATCCCTTCCTCTTGAATCGGGGCTCTGTGACTGTTTGACTAAGAGAATACCGTGGAAGTGATGTGGTGCTGATTTGGGTTTCTGGGCTCCAGCCATAAAAAGGTAGCAGGCTCTACTTCCTTTCTCTTCAGATATTTACATTTGGAACCCAGCCGCCATGCTGTAAGGAAGCCAGGAAGCCACAGGGAGAGGCCACTGGAGCTGTGTCAGAGGCAGGCCAGCTCAGGTCATAGCCAACAGCCAGCATCAAGGCCCGGACGTGAAGTGGGGAGGACTTGGAGATGGCTTCGGTCCTGGCTGTCAAGTCACCTCCAGTCTTTGAGTCTTTCTAGCCCCAGACATTGCAGATGGAGATAAGTGGCTCCCACTGCCCTTTCTGAATTCCTGGCCCATGAGTATCACTGAGTTCTGGGAGGTTGCTACAGCAATAGTGACAGGGACACTAGGGAGAGCAGTGGGGCCATGTCTGGAAAGCAGGTCCTGCTGACCCCAGAACCCATCTCTTCTCCACTGCCTCAGTTTACCTGGCACATCTGCATTTCAGATGTGCTGCCTGAGGTAATGGGGCCCTTGAAGGGTGACTCGGCCAAGCCTAGGAGGTTCATAAATATCACTCCCAGCTGCTCTGTGGGCTGACACATCTGTGTAGGGCTGGCCCTTAGGAAGAGACCAATGGGAAGTGTCAAGGAGCTCCCTGAGCTCAGACGGATGTGGACTCTGATCTCAGGTCTGCCAACTCCTAGCTGTGTGAACTTGGGCAAGTCACTCTGTGTCTCAGTTTCCTCCTCTGTACAGTGGGGTTACCAGGAAGGACCTGATAGCCCTGTCGGAGGACTCCGTGTGTGAGACTGAGGCCCCGTGTGTCTCCGTGAAATACATGTTATAAACACTCTTAATCGTGGCTTAAAAGACTCAGAACCTTAGCTCAGGATGGGCCAGCATTCAATGGGAAGGTCACGGGCCCCAGAGCAGGGCTGTGTGGGGAGGGGGAGATTCAGGCATTGGCCGAGGTCCAGAGCAGAATCCTCTCCTGTCCTGCTCCAGGGAGCTCTGTGCAGGGAGTCAGAAGCCTATATCCCAGCGTGCAGCTTTTAGAATTTTTTGGGAGGGATCATGCCCTAGATATTCCTTCCAAATGAGATCACCATTTGACAGGACTGACAGTGACTCTCCAACTCCTACTTTGTGTCTCTCTGGTCACTGTTAATATTGAAATTAACATAGATTTTAATTCTTTTTAAATTAATTGTCTTAATATTCCAGTAAACTTTAATATTGTTAATAACATCTAATTAATTTGAAAATACACTCTGTATCTATGAGCTCTAACAGTGAAATGTAGCAGTGAATGTATGCATTAAATGTGTTAATTCTGTTCCATGTCAACACTGAAAATACCATCATTTCTGCCCCCCTGGTTTAGCATGTCTTTAAAAACATTTATTGATCTATAATAAATAATAGTTGCACATATTTTACGGGTACACGTGATACTTTGCTACATGTATGTGTTATGTAATGATCAGATAGGGTACTTGGGATGTGCATCACCTCAAACATTTTTTTTACTATAATGAGAGCCTCATAAAATGGACATGGCGCAGGGCTCCCCTGAAGCCAGGCTGGGTGTTTCTGGGGACTGTGATCATTTCTGATAGGACTCAACCTCCTTGGGGAGAGACCTGGCAAGAGACCTGCCAAGACCCTGGCTGCATGGCAAGAGAAACTGAGGCAAGGTCCCAGAGGCATCGGCTGGGCCCCTGCTTCAGAGTAGGAAGCACTCATCCACTGACAGTGTATCTCCTGGGTGCGCCTGTGCATGAGGCCCTGTTCCAGGCATAGGGATACGGCAGGAGGCAAGAATCCAAGTCCCTCCCTGCGGGACCTGTGCTGTGGTGGGCAGTCAGGAAATGAAGTGCAGTCAATGCCCAGAGATCTCATGTGCTCAGTGCTAGAGAGGAGAAAAGCAGAGAAAGAGGTGAGGATGGGGGGTGGGAAGCCCGCACTAGTGAGTGAGTTAAGACAGAAAAGAGGGGGAGGCTGAGCCGTGCAAGTATCCAGGGCAGGAGCTGGCAATATTTTTCCATAAAGGACCAGACTGTAAGTACTTGCAGCTTTATATGCGCTCTGGGGTCAGTCACAACCCTCAACTCCACTGTGGGAGGGCAAAAGCAGCGTAGACAGTAAGTCAATGGGTGGCCTGGCTGTGTTCCAATAAAACTTTATTTACATAAACAGGTGGTGAGCCTAACTGTGCAACCACTGAGCTAGGGGAAGAGAATTCCAGGAAGAGGGAATAGCAAGTGCAAAGGCCCTGGGCTGGGAGTGAGGCTGGTGCCTGAGGAACAGCAAGGGAACGGATGTGGCTGGTGAAGGATGACCAGTGGATAAGGTTAGAGGAATCACTGGCAATGGAAGAGGGAAGGGGGAGAGAAGAGGCTCTTGCTTGACTAGGCCCTGGTCAGGGTTCATCCGGGGACCCTCACCCTGGGGATGTGGCTACAGACCCAACTGTAAGCTCCACTGAACACACGTGAACTCACATCCACCGCCATGCTTCTTGCTCTGGGGAGGACTGGCTGAGATCTGTTGAAAAATCAGCAAGAGTTCTCACCCTGGGAGTGGTCTGCGCCCTCAAGCCCAAGTCTGACACTTCCCTGTCTTCTCCTTTATCTATTGTCTACATGCTTGTTACCGGTGGAGGGTCCTGACTACGAGTCATCCAGGTTCCTGGCATTTTGAACAAAGAATTGGACAGAATGCACAAACAAAGCAATGACAGAATGAAGCAATGATTTACTGAAACGAAAGTACACTCCATAGAGTAGAAGCAGGCTTGAGCAAGTGGCTCAAGAGCACTGGCTGCAAATCTTCTACGGTTTAAGTGCCCTCTGGAGGTTTCCCATTGATTATATAGAGTTACACCCTACATAAATGACCAGTCTGACTGGTGGCAGGAGGGGATCGATCAGAGGTACTTTACATTTTTCATCTGCAACATAGTGGGAAAACGGGTAGGGTTTAAGGGAGCAGCCTCTGATCCTTGTTATTTGGTGTGGAAAGATGGGGTTTTCCTTTTGATTCAGTTCTAGGAAGTCAGTGTGACTCTCCCTAGGGTCCCTGCCTCCAGACCCTATTCCCCTGCCTTACACTCTTCCTCCCAGTCTCCCCTCCACCCCAGACCAGCAGAGCTAAAACAACCCCAATTCATCCTTTAGCCTGTTGGGAAGGGGCCCCAGCCCGGGAGTTGGGCACTGTTTCTGCCAAGCTTATCAGATAAGAAGTGTTAGGCCCACACAGATGAAATCACTGCCCAGATGAGGGGGGCAGGAGCAAAATGCAATTGTCTAACTCCTAAGGCGTGTGAGTTGCCTCTGTGGGTGACAAACATGTTCCAAGGGGTTTACCATGTGCCAGGCACTGGAATGCCATCCAAGGGGCCAATGTTGGTCTAGGAGAGCTCACCTCGGTGGAGGTAAGGGGGCGGCAGTACTCATGGCAGTAATTCTTCATAGTCCCAGCATGCCCCACCAGGACTGAGTCAGGGAGCATGGGAACGGAATGCCGAGGCAGGCGAGGATGGCCCTTTGGCTGATGATGCAAATGCCCCTTTCCTGAGGAATGACGGCATATTCAGAGAATTTTGAAAAAGTGTGTTATGGGCTAGATTTGGGTTACAGACAGCTGTGATCAGAGGCCAGGAGCTAAATGATAGATGCCGATGAAGAGACTTCTATTACTCAAGTAGGACAGGTACTCCAGGTGGCAGGGGTGGGGGCTGGGAATTTGTAAGGCAAGAGGGCACAATGCCCACCCCCGACCCCACCTTCCCCTAAGGGCGCTGTAGACACAGGCTGAGCCCAAACCCCAGCTCCTCTGCCACCTATCTCAGTGACTAGGACAGAGTTCTATCTTCCTGATCCTCGGTTTCTGAATCTGTCAAATGGGGAGAACAATACCCATCTCACGTTTTATTGACTCATTGTTGTATTTGTTTAGTGGGGATTAAATGAGATGGCAAATATCCAACTCTTGGGGAATTGCAGTATTCAATGGGAGTTAGACCCCTGCCCCATCACCTTTCCTTTGGAAACCCCCATCCCAGGAGGCAAGGGATCCTCTCTGATGAGGGTATGCTGTTTATGCAACATACCTGAGGGACAGTGTGACCAGAGGGGTGGGAGTCAGGCACTGAGGATGCACTTGCTGTTTACAGATTGTTTTATGACTGGCTATTGGAGCTCCCAAATGACTCAGGAGCCAACCAACCATTTTACTCCATGTTCTGGTTTGTTTGTTCATTCATTCAGTCAGTCAGTCATTCAGTCATTAAGCATGTATTACATGCCTATTCCATGCAAAAAAATACATGAGAGATTCAACCTTTCTACCTAACCTTATCTCACCTCACTCCCTGCAGCGACCTCTCCTCCCCGCTGGACTGAACTTCTCACTGTCTCTGCTCTCCGAAATGTCTAACACTCTCCGTCCCGGTGCCTTGACTCCAGCTATGGCTGTTGCCATCACTGCTGCCTCTTACTCTTGAAACAAAGCAACATGTTAGAAAGATCCCAGGTTCAGAATCAGGAAGTAAGGATTTGAATTTTGGCTCTGCCTCTCACTAGCTGTTAAGTTCTTTAGCCTACCTGATTCCCAGTTTCCTCATCTGCCGGATGGGAATGATACTAGGATCTATCACAGAAGGTTGTTGTGAGAATAAACACTATGAGATGTGTAAGATATCTATTATGTCAGTGATATCTAAGATATCTAAGTCAGTGCCTGGCTTGGAGTTGAAATTAGTAACAAATGTCTATTGAACGGACCTGAGGAATTCTGGCCTGGGAGGTGGGAAACTTGAATCTTGGTCATAGGAATGTGTGCTTGAATAAGTCATTGCTTTTCTCCAGGGGCTCCAATCCCTTGATTAAAATTGTAAAGTTGGATCACCAGAACACCAAGTATTGACATCCCTGGCTTTCCACCCTGTATTTCTGAACTGGATCCAGGGACACCTGGCACACAGCCGGCTTCATCTCCGTTCTCCGTCAGGGAAGACATCACTAGTTGATCAGAGCGTTCTATCTGCTGAGCCCCCGGAATCTCTCCACAGGGCGCCTGCCAGCCATCGCCAATCAAACCAGAGGTGACGGTTGAGATCAAACAGACTTTTCATTCCTGATCGGTGCCTGGGTGAGTGACGAGGCCTATCAGTGCTGGAAGACACAGTCAAGGTGATGGATGTGTGGGGGTAGTGGAGTGTGCAGAGCAGAGGTGCGAATGTGGGACAGTGGTCCATTTAGGACGTCCCGCAGGGCACAGACACTACCGTGTCACTTTTGTCCCACTAGCCCTTCTTTATGGCTTCACCTGGGTAGTCATTATATCCAGCCCAGGGTACAGGCGGAGGTGAGGGAAGGGCGCCGATTATGAACCGGGTGGCGTGTTCGTTTGATTTTCATGGCTGATGTCTTAGTCCTCATCAGTAACTCGCCAGGGAACCACTCATAGCTCCACTTCAAGGGTGAGGAATAGGAGGCTCGGAGCTTACTGATCATGATGATTAATCATAAAACCACAGTAATTGGCTTGGGTTGCACTCCAGCTTCACCCCTTTTGGCTGTAGGGTCTTGGGCAAGTCACTTAGTCAACCTGTGCTTCAGTGTCCTCATGTGTAGAATAGGCACAATAGCAATATCCACCTCATTATGAAGGTGTTAATACACATGAAGTTTTTGGAACATTATTCAGCATTTAATAAGAGGTCAGTAAACTATTTTCAAGACTGTTGGAATGGATTTCGTATTCATTTTGCTATTCCCAGCACCTCAGAAAATGTCCTGTACATAGTAGGCGTTAATTAAATGCTTTAGAACCACTTGTTGAGCATTATAAATTCCCCAGAAAAGTCCAACATAGGTCTTCTTGTTGCCGAGAAAGACTCACATAGGTTTTTCTTGTTGTCAAAGAGGACATCTCAAAGAAAATAACAAAAATACGCTAAGCCAAACAAAAATGCAAGCACAACATATCAAAATTTGTGAAATGCAGCCAAAGCAGTGCTGACAGGAAATTTTATAGCACTAAGAGGCCTACATTAGAAAACAAGGAAGCTCTCAATCAATGATCAAAGTCATCCCCTCAGGAAAAGAAAAGTGAAATATGCCCAAAGTAAGAAAAATAAAGGAAATAATAAAAGCAGAAGTCAATGACACTGAAAACGGAAAAAGAAATAGAAAAATAAAAATAAAAAAAAGAGCTGGTTCTTTAAACAGATCAATGAAATTAACAAGCTTCTAGCAAGACTGACAAAAAGAGATAAGCTATAGATTGATACATCAGAAATAAAATGCAGCCAGGTGTGGTGGCTCACACCTATAATCCCAGCACTTTGGGAGGCCAAGACAGAAGGATTGCTTGAGCTCAGGAGTTCCAGCCTGGGAAAAATAGTGAGATCTGCTTTCTACGAAAGGAGACCAGCCTGGGAAAAATAGTAAGATCTCCTTTCTATGAAAGGAGACCAGCCTGGGAAAAATAGTGAGATCTCATTTTTACAAAAAATTTTTAAAAATTAGCTGGGTGTGTTGGCACGAACCTGTAGCCCCAGCTACTGGGAGGCTGAGGTGGGAGGATTGCTTGAGTCCAGGAGGTCAGGACACTGCCGGATGCCATAATTGTGTTACTGTACTGCAGTGACAGAGCAAGACCTTGTCTCAAAAAAAAAAAAAAAAAAAAAAGAGAGAAAGAAACAGAAAGAATGGAAGGAAGGAAGGAAGGAAAAGAAAGTCAGGCTAAAATAGTAAATGTTTTGATATTATATCTTAGCATAATAAAAATTGTAAACAGGCTAAAGAAAAAAACCACATGTTCATGTAAATTGATGCAGAAAATTCATTTGACAAAATTTAACATCCATTCATGACCAGAACTGCCAGAAAATTAGGAATAGAAGAAAGTATCCTCAATTTGATAAAGAGGATCTACAAAATTCCCACAGCTACATCCCATCCCATGGTGAAAGACCGAAAGCTTTTCCCCTAAAATCAGGAACAAGACACAGAGGTCTGCTTGCACCACTGTTATTCAACATGGAACTATTTGCCTGAACCCCACCCCTCTTGAGACTCCACATGGTGAAGATGGGCTGGGCTGTCCTCTTTTCTTGGGGCTTGAGTCCTCAGACTCACCAGCTCCAACCCCACTCATTCATATCCCTTTCAAGAACCCACGGGGGAGTGCACATGGTCTTACCTGATTTGATGAGGTTGAATCGCACTGATTTATATTAGGAAAAAGTAAATCATTTGCCACATATAAGTAGCACCGACTTGTGGCATGCTAGCACCATATCCATGTGCTCAGCATGGAGGTCAAGAATTGATGATGTAATTCGTCCAGGAAACTGAGGCCTAGAGAGGGTGAGTGACTACCTCAAGATCACACAGCCAGGTAGGGGCTGAGTTCAAAGATCTCATCTCCAAAGCCAGTCTCCCTCTAATGGTACAATAATGTGGTTGAAACCTCTTCCAGTGTGGTATTTGATCACACTGACAGTGGTCTCTGTCGCTGGAGGTGGGCTGCAGCCAGGGGTGATGGGGCTGGCTGAGCCTGGCTGTGACTCCTCTGGGGCATTACCAGGTCTCTGCCTCCTCTGAGGACAGAGCCACACCAGGCAAGTTCAGCAGGTCAGGAAGCCCTTAGCCTGGCAGCCAAAGGGGTTTGCTTTGACCCGATGCCTCCTGTTCTCAGGAAGCAAGAAGCACGTCCGTTCTGATTACGGCTGACAGCCTGCCTTGGGCTGGTTTTTGATAGAAATATTGTCATTATGTAAGAAGTTACATAAATCATCTTGTGATGTCTGCGTCGCACATCCACAGAGGCACTGCCGGGCTGCTCTGTCCTCTGCGTGGCTTTTGTTATGTTTCCCGAGCTGGCGTGGTCGGCCAGGCCTATCTCTCCCGGGCAGGGGTGGCTGGGGAGAGTCTGCAGCTCCAGGCTAGCACGGGCCCTGGGTGGAAGATGGGCCCTCGCATTGGTTCACAGCTGCCGGTGGGAGCAGCATCTTAGGATCATCCCCACCCCAGCGTTGTCATTTACTGCCGGTGGGAACTTCGGCAAGTTTCCAAGCCCATTCGTGCCTCAATTTCCTCATCCATTAAAGAGAGTAATCATGGCACCTGGGAAGAACAAAGGACAAAATATGTCACGTCCTTCCATCAACTAGAACTTTACACTCATATGATCAGGTGTGAGAATGAATACGGTGGGGTTGGCAGACCGGGGCTCCCTCCAGGATGCTCTTCCTGACTGGCTCTGCCACCTTGGATGAATCACTGCCCCTCTCTGGGCCTTTGTCGTCATCTCTAAAATGAGAAGTCGGCCCATCTTTTGGAACTGAATTTCCTGTAGAGGTATGAAAATGTAAAATCTCCTTTAACAGGTATTTTTGGCAATTTAAAACATTACCAAACATGTACCAACAAACAAATACATTCAAATGCATTTTAACTCACAAGGTGACATGCTAGGCTGCCAACGGGTGAACTTGGGCAGTCAGGTGAACTCCTCGGGGTGCAGGTGATAGTTTCTTCAGGGACTCCATTCATTGGATGACTGTCCTATGATCATAAGAGAAGTTTTTTTAGGCTGGGCTCACAACTGTAATCCCAGCACTCTGGGAAGCTGAGGCAGGTGGATCACCTGTGGTCAGGAGTTTGAGACCAGCCTGGCCAACATGATGAAACCCTGTCTCTACTAAAAATACAAAAATTAGCTGGGTGTGGTGGTACGTGTCTGTAATCTAAGCTACTCGGGGGTCTGAGGCAGAAGAATCACTTGAACCTGGGAGGCAGAGGTGGCAGTGAGCCAGAGATAAAGAGAGAAACCTGCAGACGAGCTCCCTTCCCTCCTGGAGCTCACCTGGTGGGCTCAGCTCACCTGGGTGGGGCAAACAATAGACAGACAAAAAAAAAAAAAAAAAAAGGCAGCAGCTGTTTACAGTCCACAGGAAAAGTCCTGTTCAGTGGAATGGGCAAAGTATTTAATTCATAAACATTTAGTAAGAAGCTACTCTGTGCCAGGCTGTAGTAGGGATCAGATTACAAAGGGAGGTTAAACTTCATCTTTGGCTCCAGGCACACAGGCATGGGAGAGGGTGTTATTAACAACGCTGTAAGTTGGCGGAAGGCATCCTGGAGGAGGGGATGTTTGAGCTGGGCCTTGAAGAATTGCTGAGAGGACAGGATTGGCTGAGTTGGGCCCAAGAATCACGTTTGAGGCTTCTGTGGGGGTGTCACCAACTGTAAATGGGAAATAATCCCCTCCCCGCCCAGACGCAGGCAGATAATGAGCGAACACTGCGAGAGTCTCATGACTCGCATGATTACTGCTGTCTTTCCTCCTGCCTATATGGCCAATCAGAAAAACACAGAGGAGCCATCCCTTGTGTCAGAGGTATCCAGAGGCCTGGCCTTAAGCCACAGCTGCCTTGTCTCCCCGATCCTGACTTCCCAAAGCTGCAGCTCCCCATATTCCTGAGCCGGGAAGTTCCAACGTTGGGCTAGAAGAGTGGAATGCCGGACGCGTGGAGAAAATCTGGTCTTCTCGGCCGGCAGCACTTAGGCAGGGTCTGGTGCTCCAGGAGGCCATGTGGCGAGGCAGATCCAGCTCAGCCTTTGCACACAGACGGGCCTGGCTTCAAGTTCAAACTCTGCTGGTTAATGCTATGCGGTCTTGGGAAAGCAATTCAACCTTGCTTACTTCATTTGTCATGGGCAAACGCACCGCCACTCTCACGGAGCGGCCGTGTGAGGTCTTCGTGTGGTCATCGAATACGGCTCTTGTGGCTCTTGGCACGTGCTGTGTGTCCACATATAATCCATTTTCTTCCACTTTTCTCTCCCCTTCCTTTCTCTCTTCCCTCTTTTCTTCCTTTCTTCCTCCTCTCTTTCCTCAAAAAGTGTTTGGTGGAAGAACAGTCTGCGTTAAGAGCTATGGAGAGAGTTTTATAAGACATCAACTCACCTCCCATGGAGTCCACAGGCCTGGTGGGGAGGCGCACTACTGGCTAAGAAAGGAGAGACAGCTTCACAAATGGGCAGTGCAGAACGGGCAGGCAGGGCTACAGGTGCCATGGGATCTTGAGGAAGCTGGGACCCGAGCTGAGTGGCTCCAAAAGATCTTGATGCCCTTAGAAGAGAGGAGATCTTCCAGAGACAGGAAAGATGCAGCCCACATAGAGTGCAGAAACCTGGGTGAAAGGGCAGAGCACAGAGAAGCAGGCAGTTAATTGGTCAGGTACTGGCTGCCAGAGAGGTTGGAACTCTTGGCTGTGCACACCGGCCTCACGCCGTAGGCAGCAGGGGACTGGCCCTGATGGCCATGGGCCCTCAGGGCGCTCTCTCCAGCCATGTGTGCCAGGCATTTTGGAACAGAAAGGATGTTTCCTGCCTGTCCCAGTCAGGATGGGCCGGGACGTGCTACAGTGACATAGAGCCCGCACATGTCTGGCTCTCAAAATGAGGAAGGCTTGGCTCTCACCCATGCACAGGCTGCTGCAGGTAGGAGCAACCCCCCAGGGCACGCAGTGGCCGACAATCTAGGGTCTCCAGTCCAGCAGCACCTCCATCTCGGTCCACACTTCCCCGACCCTGCAGCAGGGTAGGGGCAAGAAGAATACAGTGCTGGCTTTCAGGCCCTAAATTGAGTTATAGCTTGTCAGCACTGGGCCATCTCCTCCAAACTCTTCATTTTGCCTGTAAGGACCCTCAGGCTGGGGGAAGGGGGGATGGCTTGGAGTCAGGCCATAGCAGCTGCCTATTGGCCAGTGGGAAGGAGTGGGGCCATCACTCCTGGTTGGAAGCCCTGGCCCTGCCCTGCCAGTGCCCCCAGTCTGGGCGGGGAGACTCTGGAGAGGAGTCATTGGCATCTTAGGTTGTAGTATGGAGGTGTTGGTTGGCACGTAGACCACCAGCCATCTGGCTGATGAGGGAGACAGGAGGAGAAGGCGGTAGAAGGGGAAGAGGAAAGGAAGGGGAAGGAGAGGAGGAGGGGAGAAGAGGAGGCTGAGCCTGGGCAAGAAGATGACAAGGAGTGAGAGGGGCCCGTGAGCTGGCTGGCACTGAGGCGCGACCATTAGCATTTCCCAGGCAGCCGCCCTCGCCTTCAGCCTCACCTTCCCTCTGGCCAGTTAGTGGGCAGGGCCAGCGCCGACGCTGGGCTCCCTTGCTCTCTCAGAGCAGCCCTGCTTGCAGCCCCGCCGGCGTTGGCACGGTGACAGTAGCCAAGTGTGCAAACTTGTGCCATTGTCCACAGGCCAGGGGGAGCCATGGAAACTGGCTAATATGACACAGGAAAATGTTTGCTGATGGCAATTCTATGGGCTTTGTCCACCTCTTTCTCCATCATGACGACTCGATTTAAGTCCCTAACTGTTTGACTACAAATGCAAGGGGACCGTGCAACGCCAACCTTTTGTCCGGCTGCGCTGAATGGGCAATTCAGGCTTTGTGCAGCTCAATTGAGGAAGCAAACATAAAGACAAGATTCCTGAGAGCTCCAGCTCCCTTCCCATGGATATCCCAGCACCTCGTTAGAGAGTCCTTCCTCGGCCACCTTTTCCGACAGGCATCAGCGCACCTCCCGACCTCGAAGGTCCTCCATACCGGATCCCTGGGGGATCCTGGCAGAGAGGGTAGTGGGGGTGGCAGAGGGGGAGAGAGAGAGAGACGCAGAGATAGAGAGAGGAGTGAGAGCGAGAGAGCCACTCAACACTCAAGGACAGCGGGAAAAGCAGCCCGCCCCGGCTTACCCTGTCCGATTGTCTGTCTGCACTGGAGCATGGCAGCTGTAGGCCTGGAGTCTTTGGGGGGAGGTTTGCAAGCCCGTCTCCACCAGGCCCAACCCCTTCTCCATCCTGGACATTTTAAACACACACACATCCCACCCCCTTAAGAAACTAGGGAACCGAGGTCAAGGGGAGGCGGGGCGTGGAGTCCGAGGAGAGTGGGGCTGAAGGGTAGAAATTTACCGGGAAATGATTGCATTTGGGAGCTGTCTTTTTTGTGATGGTCCCCATGGTGACAATTTGTGACGGCAAAGAATGTGGGAACGGGGCGCCGCCGCCTGATTGGGATGCTTTGTATCTGGAGAGGCGCTCCTGATTGGCCTGAGGGGCCCCCCAGCTCCGGGGAGTTGTCCTCCATTCAGCCCACTCAAGGGCTGCACAACTGCTTCCAGCCGGACGGAGCTCGGCCGGCTGTGCCGGGGCCTGTCCCAGGTCTGCAGCGGGGAACCTGCCGGGCCACGTTGGTCGGGCCCCGGCCGGCACCTTTGGTCAGTGTGGAGGCCCGGCGGCTCTGGCCCGGCTGGGTGGCGGGTGTGGGGCAGGCTGGGGCCGGGGGGAGGGGTGAGGTGCGTGGGTGGCGGCGGAGGAGGCATGAAATTGCTGCAGATGCTTCTTCGGGGGAGTCCCTACTGCCCACAGCCTGAGATCTGCCCGCAAGGCAGGTCTCGATTAAGTGCCAGACAGGGGTCCTGCCTGGTCCTGCGTGAGAGCTGGGGGTGGAGCGTGGGGACTGAAGAGGGGGGGTGGGGGGCGTGGGGGGGGGGGGGGGGGGGGGGGGGGGGGGAGGCTACCACCAGGGAGGAAGGGGGCTTGGCCTTGCTTTAAAGTGGAGCAGTCACTTCAGCTCAGAGAATAAACACCTCACCGTTGCACACCTTGGCACCATGGCGTGTGGGAAACAGGGCAGGCTGGGAGTGCGGGGTCTCGTGTGCCAGCCCCAGCAATGCCACCTATAGCTGGGTCACCTTGGGTGAGCTGCTTGACCTTTCTGAGCCTTGGCTGCAAGAGGAGGGCACCAGACCCAAGCTGGCCGGACGGGGCTGTGCCATCGCCCGCGGCTTCCCAGGTGTGCAGACAGCACTCAGCCACTTGCACCCGCAGCCCTCCACCCAGGACGCTGTTTAGGGCTGAGGGGTGCTGGGGTGGGGACACCATTTGCAGACAGGTGCTGTGGTCTTTTGGGAGGGCTGGGTGTGGTTGCTTGGAGAGACTCCGATGGCCTGTTATGTCCCCCAGGTCAGTTCGGTGTCCTTCCCCGGAGCTGCCAGCCACCAGCAGAGCCCACCCTCTTCATGGAAAGCTTCGTGCGGTGGCCCCCTGGTGATGGCATCTGACAGTGATGTGAAGATGCTGCTGAACTTCGTGAACCTGGCGTCCAGCGACATCAAGGCAGCCCTGGACAAGTCTGCGCCCTGCCGACGCTCCGTGGACCATCGCAAGTACCTGCAGAAGCAGCTCAAACGCTTCTCTCAGAAGTATTCCCGGCTCCCTCGGGGCCTTCCGGGCAGGGCCACAGAGCCCTACCTGAAAAGGGGGCCTGACGACCGGCCCGGGAGGCTGCTCCTCGATTTGGGCCCTGATTCCAGCCCTGGCGGGGGTGGGGGCTGCAAGGAGAAGGTGCTGAGGAACCCCTGCAGGGAGGAATGTCTTGCTAAGGAGCAGCTCCCCCAGGGGCAGCAACCAGAAGCTGCCCGGCCTGGCCAGGTGCCCATGAGGAAAAGACAGCTGCCTGCCTCCTTCTGGGAAGAGCCGAGGCCCACCCACAGCTACCATGTGGGGCTGGAGGGGGGACTGGGCCCCAGGGAGGGATCTCCCTATGAGGGTAAGAAAAATTGCAAGGGCTTGGAGCCCCTGGGGCCTGAGACTGCCTCAGTGCCCATGTCTCCAAGCGCCCTGGCTGAAAAGGAGTCACTCAAGATGCCGGGGGTCTCCCTGGTGGGCCGCGTCAATGCCTGGAGCTGTTGCCCCTTCCAGTACCATGGACAGCCCATCTACCCAGGCCCTCTGGGGGCCCTGCCTCAGAGTCCTGTCCCCAGCCTGGGCCTGTGGAGGAAGAGCCCGACCTTTCCTGGGGAGCTGGCGTACCTCTGCAAGGATGCGGACGGCCTGGGGCAGAAGGTGTGCAGGCCTATGGTGCTAAAACCCATCCCCACCAAGCCGGCCATGCCCCCACCCATCTTCAACGTCTTTGGTTACCTCTAGGCGGGCTGAGAGGGCCTCAGCCCCCACCTCTGGCCTGCAGGAGTGTGGAGGTCCCCAAGGCGCTCTCCTGTGAGGAGGTGGCTGGTCCATGGTGTGGCCTCTTCCTTTTGTGTATGTGTGGGAGGACTGGGGCCGGGCTCCTCAGGGAGACACCTTCCGGCCTTGCAGCCTTGGAAGCTGTGGGGCTGGGCCTGGTCGGCCCCTCCCCAAGCAGGCCAGGGCCCAGCAGCTCATCCTGCTGTCCCTGTGCTAAACATGGGTGGGGGGATGGTGCCCTTCATTCCCACCACCCCAGAAGCCAGAGTTACACATCTGTTCACCTGCCACCCACTGTGTGAGCCAATCTCAGTTGTTGTTCTTCTTGTTCTTTGTACATATTGAGAAAGTTGAAAGAATAAAGACATTTCTTTTGGAGTTTCCATATCGTGGGTGTCAGGAAGTTGAATGACCCCCAGGCTGAGGGATGTGGCAGCAGTTGCTGGTTCCAGGGAGGCCAGGACTGGCTGAAGCCTCTGAGATATCTGGGAATGGGCGCTGGGGCCAAGAGCTTGGTTCAAAGGAAGGAGGGTGAGGAGGGGAGGAGAGGAGCCACCAGGGAAGGACACCCCCAGGGTCCAGCATGCTCCGGAGAACAGGCGCCGGAACCAGGGAGGTGGGGCTGTAGTCCCAGCTCTGCCATGTGCTGTGGGGCCCCACCCTTCCTCTGGGGGGTATCCTCACTCCTCCTGCAGGATGACGAGATGAGAATGGGTCTCTCCGCAGTGCCTTCTGCTCTGTGTACTGCCTCAGGGAAGCCTCTGTGCCGAGGTGGTTGTGCCCGACTCTGGTGAGAGGGAAAATCAGGCCAAACAGGAGTTTGGTCCGTGGGCAAAACAGGTAGTTTGACCAAATTGTTCCTCTTGTAGGCACAGTCTTGGAGTCTGTGTCCACAGGCAAAATAAGTCAATTTAAAAAATAATAGCAAACTCCTCTGAACCTCATTCTCTCCAGCACATCCAAAGGGATCCTCTCTAGCTAATCCAGATTCCAGGTTACCTGAGGATGGGTCTTTCCCCAGGCCTGGCACATACCAGGTGCCCCATCAATGCCATGATAAGGCCTCTGCCTGTGACAGTGCAGAGGGCAGCACCAGTGGCAGGAAGTGGCCCTGGATTTTGCCCTTTTAGTGTCCTGCTAGCAAAGTCACCTGAGGGACCTCCACCTGCACGCAGACCCAGGTTTGCTCTGCTGCTGTGGACGGGGCTCTGTGGCTGACAGAGGGTGGGCGTGCCGGCGTGCCCAGCTGCTTATTAGAACAGTTTCACAACTAGAAGGGTGCAGGGGGCCAGTCCTGGCTGGGACTATGGTGCTCTCATCAGCAGCACGATGTTGGACACATTCATCCTTCCTCTGTGCCTCAGTCTCCTCACCTGTACAACGGAGGACTGGACTGGGAATAGGAAACAGGTGTACCTCCCTCTGCTGCACCCCAGGCAAGTACCGGCTGCTTGCAGGCTCCCTCCTTTGGAGCCTGGACATGGCCCCTGATTCTTCCTCACTAATACAGGCTGCAAGATTGGTAGTCGCCAAGGGCCCCTCCGACTTGTCTTGTTTTACTCCAGGATTCCCTGGAGTGGGGAGTCCCTGGAGGGGCAGCCCCCTCACCGGGAAACCAGCCAGTGGTTTCTGTCCAGTGGCCTCTGAAGACTTCAAGGTCACAGAAACAGGCACAACCCTGGGCAGAGCTGTTCAGAGTCATTATCTGGCCTATGGGATGGGGACGATCCTCCACCTGGACCCTCAGCCTCAGATTGCTCTGGTCTTAAAGAGCAGAAAGGGGCTGGGGGTGGGGAACCCTCCTCTGCCCTCTGTGCAGCATCACACAGGCCATCTGAATCCATGTCGATGAGCCTCAGCTCCCTACAAACTGCATAGCAGGGGTTTAAATGCCTGCATCCTGGCCTGCCATCTACCAGCTGTGCCATCTTGGGCAGGTTACGTAACCTCTCTGTGCTGAAATTTCCTCATCTGGAGAATGTGATTGATAATAGACCTGCTGCATAGGTTGTTGTGAGGCCAATGTGAGTGCCCTGGCCCACTGTCACCCAGATGCTCAAAGCATCACCAACCACAAGTCACCTCTGGTAGTTGTCTGGTGGTGTCTCTAGGTCCTGCCACGCCGACATTTTAATACCGTTAATGGGCTGTGCTACCCGGGGGATGATGTGCCTGGACCACCCAACCAACCACACCCGCTAGCGGAGGAGCTGGGCTCCGGGGCACATTCTCCCAGGGTGCTGCCTGTGTCCAGTCCTGCCTGGGCTCTCTGATAAGACTGGCCTGTCCCTGCTCACAGCCCCGGGCATACCTGCAGATCCATTCATTCAAAAGTTGGGAAGCAGAGACTTGTACTAAGACATGACCTGATGGAAGCCCTGGCAACATGACGCCCCCACATGAAAGCGAGCTAGGGGGAAAACACACATCTGGAAAAGCTTCGGTATTGAAAGTAAGTTTTAAATCCTGCTGCAGTAACAACAGCACATACTGTCCTAACCACAGAGTGAATGGCACTGGTTCAAGGTAAAACCCGGAGCCAGTCCAGTGCCCCCCACCCCTTCACAGTCCCTGATGCCCACCATTGGGTCAAGCAGGCTCAGGCTCATGAAGCAGAATCTCTGCCGGACTCTCAGGGCTCTAAGTGTTCTCCGATGCTGCCAGACGTCCCTGAGGCTGCAAACCTCTTGGGGCTGGGTATTGCAGGAGGGGTCTGCTTCTGCAGAGCGAGTTGGCTGTAAAGTGCTCCAGACAGGAGTGATGGTCAAAATACATCATGAATGGCACAATGTGAGCCTTGGCCAACTGGAACCAACCCACTGGAGCAGGCCCAGGCCAGGAATGAACCCCTTAGCTGCTGGGTTGTGGGGAGGTGGGGGCAGAGACATAAGGAGGCCAAGGCTGGGCATGGCACTTGCGGGGGGCATGGGGGGCTCTGAGCAGCGCTTTGACTAACCTGCATGGACACACGTACATTAATATTCTAAGAACCCAAATGTAGCACTGGTGCATCTCAGACCAGGAGGTCCCACACCCTGCAGATGTCAAGTACAGAGAATACAGTGGCCGAGCCCCTCCCCACACCTCACACTCAGCCCTTCAGCCTCACGTCCTCCAGGGTGGCACCTCCCACAGACCGGCATACTGCCCTGCCCAGTACCTGGGTCTCTGGGTTGGGAGATTTGTGGCTGCTGCCTTAGGATCCTCCAGGATGTAATGTGGCCCATAAGATGCTGTAGGTTAAGTCTGCCCACTACTCATCCTGGTCCACACACGCCCCAAACAACTCACACACTGGCCCTGCGTGCCTCATCCCATCACCACCTGCCACCCCTCAGGTCACTCTGACCAGCAGTCACCCAAGATGCAAATGCCCTCCCTTTGGCTTCTGGGTCAGCAAAGGCATTCTTCCATCAGAGTCTCCCCTGTGAGCTGACGCCTACTTGGCAACTTACCCCCGTCTCTCGGGGTTGAGTACCCCAGTGGGTGAGGATGCAGGTTTCCTCTGGGGCTTCTTTAGGATCCCTGCACGTTCTGCCCAGTGTACAGCAAGGCTGCATGGGACCATGGCCAAGCACTGTTAAGCTGGAGCCCCAGGGACTTACTGTGTGTGCCCAGGCAAGTCCCTTCCCCTCTCGGGGCCAGTTTGTCATTTGTACTATGAAGGAGCGGGCACGACCTGGTTGATCTTTGACCTGTGCCAGCAAGTGCTGCTTGGAAGACTTTTTCTCTGGGAGTTACTGATTCCATAGAAGCCCAGTGTGTCTTTAGCCAGGCATGGTGGCATGCCCCTACAGTCCCAGCTACTTGGGAGGCTGAGGTGGGAGGATCACCTGTGCCCAGGAGGCGGAGGTTACAGTGAGCTGAGATCACGCCACTGCACATCAGCCTGGGCAAAAAAGCGAGACTCTGTCTCAAAAAACAAAAAGAGAAGAAAAGAAAAGAAACCCAGTGTGTCAGAGCCAGCAAGGCCACGAGTGGCATGTCTTACCATACAGATGAGGAAACTCAGGCCCCAGAGGTGCAAACCACTGGCAGAGCTGAGCCTGGAGCCAGTGCTCCCCTCCCCCAATCTACTGCTTACAAAGGCCAGGAACTACCTTTGACCTTGCTTCAGACTCTACTAGATCCTGCGGCTGGCCTGGTACAGGCTCTCAGCCAGGTGGCCTGCTCTGGTGCTGCTGCAGAGCAGCCTGGACTCAGTGGCTTCACTCACACTTGTGAAGGGAGCACTGATGAGTTACTGCAGCTTCCATGGAAACATGGCATGCTGCATCTCAGTGCTTGGAACCTGGAGAGACCCGCAGAGAGTGCCACATGGTGGCGAGCCTTGGCTCTGCCCTGTACCACCTGAACACATGATGACAGCTCCTGCTCCGCCCACCCCACAGGGCCACGAGGACAGAGGGAGGCGCACAGGGGCCAGGGCTCCACATGTGCTCTCAGGCTTGGTGCCTTTGCAAGGGCTGACCATGGCCATCACTCTAGCGCCATTGCTCACAGTGCCCAGTATTTAATTTTTTCCCCTAGTTTCTCAACAACCAGTAAAACAGGGCTGAACAGGGTGTGAAAACTGAGTGCCAGGAAATGTGTGTGGCAACCGCAGGTATCGAGAGGCATGTGGGCCCCGAGACTGTGACAGCGCTCCTGTTTCCATGGTGATTGAACCAGGAGAGGAAAACCCACTGGGCCATCATCAGGTCTTGGCCGGGGAGGGAAGGATACAGCCTCTTGGGTCTTTCAGGAACCCAAACACAGGTGACACACTCAGGGGTCCTTGTGCCCCATCCCCACCCCTGCCCCACTCCCACTACTGCCACGAGCAAGGCTGAGGACCTCAGGGCCTGGGGGTCTGGTGAGAGGGACCTCGCTGGGCAGGCGTCACATGTGTAGCATTTATTGCATTAATACTTAACGAAGCCCTCCGAGACCCAGGGTCCCCCTCCCCCAACTCTGGGCCACATCTTCATCTTAGTCTTTGGGGAGAAAGCTCTGAAGTCAAGTGGAGAGTTTTCCAGAGCAAGTGGAGGGGCACAGGGAAGGCTCTGAGCCCACCTTCCCCAGACCACCTCAAGCTCTGCCCTGGCCCAGGAATGGAGGTTTCTGCCATTCCCGAAGGCAGAGAAGTTCTGGGATCTGCTTATCCATTTGTAAACAAATGATTCTTCTCCTCCTTGACACATTCAGTTCTCTGCTCTGGCCAAAGCTCTGGCCCTGAGACCCAGTGAGATCCTGGCAGCTATCCAGGCTGAGAGGGAGGCAGCCTGCAGCCTCGTCTGTCACCAGTTCCCCTTGGAGTTGGGGACACCGACGTCCTGAGACTTAGTAAGAAGAGTCTGAGGGGCTACTCCTCTCTCCCTGTGGCCCCAGTTACTGGG